TTGGACCTGAGACGCAGAGTTGGGCTCCACATAAACTGTGCGTTTTTGTCGTTGAACGCAGAGTTGAACTCTGTGTTTTAAGTCCACGAACTCTGCGTTTTTGTCGTTGGACGCAGAGTTGGGCTCTGTATGAACTCTGCGTTTTTGGTCCACAAACTCTGCGTTTTGATTCTGTAATGCAGAGGCGAGCCTTAGGCGGGCTTGGCGAACTTTAGGCTAAGTCCAATATTCAGACGAAGTCCAGTCTTGCAGACGGACTTCAGAACATAACTTGCTGCGAAGAACAGGTCATAACTTTCAAACCATAAGTCGGAATTGGACGAATTATATATGAAAATCAGCTATCTCGACGAGACGGAGCCGACCAAACCAACCTCATAGGGTTCGGTATGCTCCGTCGGTTTTGCCAAATTCCTTACGGTTTGAGAGATATCCACGTTTTGGTTTAAAGAGACCGTCGATTTATAGTCTCTTTTGCTAGAGCGTTGCAAAGATCATAATCTTGTAATCTTCGTCTTGGCTCCTTGAAAATGTGAGAGTCGTTAGATTGTAACTCCCGATATTGATTGTGAAGGATGTTGATTAGAGCTTTCATCAGTTGTTGCGAAGGTCGTCAGATTATAACCTTCATCGATCCACGTGAAAGTTTTTAAATTATAGTCTTTTGGAAGCCGTCAAATTATAACTTTTATCATTGATGTTTGATGGGAATAAGCTATCTGCAGTGATTTTTAGACAGCCTACAATGAGGGATCGAGCCCGTAGGCGAAAGGTAATAAAAGATAATTCTTTTTTTTCCTAATTGCTTCTTTGGTAGGAAACAGAGATGTTGGATGCTAATCTATCTATATGCAGCAAGAAACGATTAGCTTAATAATCACTTGTTGTTTGATGTTTATCCTAGCAATGTTATTTAGTGGGAGTTAAATTCGTCTTTTCTATTTAATTTTAATGCAGTCTTGATGTCTTGAGGAATTGTGTTCTGTTTGGTTTGGAGTTTATTTTAATGTTTTTATTAACTTTGGTTAGTAGCTTCATCATGATAAATGGAAAGCAAGTTCACTGCATTATGATTAGAGCTTTAAATTTGGCATAGTACCCATATAAGAATGATGCTATTATAACTTACCTATGTGATAAACAAGACAACTCTTATAAATCCACTGATATTCTCATTTTTCATATGTATAATTATTCTCCATGAAGCCTTAAATGGGTATGCTTTACTTGGATGATCTTAAATAGATTTGGTTCACTAAAAAACTTTGTTTTATATTGTGGTATGTTGAAGTCAGGTATCCAGCGGTGTTTAACTGTTATCATTTACTTTGAAGATATGTTAATTTTATCATCTCTTAAAGGAGTAAAGTTCCATGTGGATTCTTCTTTGGATGGAGCAATCAAGTATATATTGATTTTTTCCTCTCTTACTTTCTTGATCATACTTTGATAAAGTGAAACTTCATAGCTATTAAATTCTGCAGCTGACTTTGTGAATTGTAGGATCAAGGACAGCTATAGGACATATTAACATGATAAATGTTGCCAATTCATACTTTTACACTTGTTTTGAGTGTGGATCTTTACGTGTGTTGTATAATCTGTAGTTGCTTTTGTTTGCATTTTAAAAGGAACATGTTAAGTGTTGTCTATCTAATACTAGATTTTTTTGAGGGGAGAGAGCATATTGATGCTCTGATTTCTCTAACACTTCACACTTTATAATAATTGTCTTAATAGGCACATTACCGAAACAAAGTTTAGCTGAAGCAGTATAATCGCCACTTTTAAAGCATTGAAGTTTAGAATATGTGTCAATGTTGCTAAAAGGTCTTATCCTATGAAGCATTGTATCATTTATATTAATCACTTGTGTGATATTGCTGCTACAGGAAAGGAGAGTAAGAAAGAATCAGCAAGTTATCGATGTTTATTTCATCCTACATACTTCGCTGAAATGCTAGCATTACAAACTTCTTTATGTTATAGATTTTAGGAGTTGCTACCGTGTTTAATAATACAAGAAAGCATCCCGGTCAGCTGAAAGACATGTGGTCGCATCGCTAGTCGGACCTACCATCGTTGGGGTTCACGAGTCAGAACAGAATGGTTTCTATGGAACAATATTGAATCATCAATGTAACTATCAGTCTCTTCGTAAAAGCTAATTCTTGGAGTACCTACTTTTTAATGACGAGAGAGAACCTTATTTTTTGTTGTTGCTCATTTTGTAACTCAATATTTTTGCTATGTTGTATAATGATGGATACATTTTGTTAGCAGAGATTATTAGATTAGCTAAAAATTCGATCATCTTACTTGCAGAATTGATCCCATTTTTTTCTTAATTCTTCAATGCACAAAGTAGATTCCTTAAAAAAAATACTATAGCATCCATCTAGGATGCTTCCTAGACGAAAATTCCATCTAGGATACTTCCTATCCTAGATGGAAATCAATCTAGGATTCTTCCCAGATGAAAATTCCGTCTAGGAAGCATCCTAGACGAAATTTCCATCTAGGATGCTAAATCATCCTGGACAGAAATTCCGTCTTGCAAACTTCATAGACGGAATTTTTTTCCGTTTAGGATTATCCGTCTAGGATGTTTTTCTAGATGAATTCCGTCTAGAATACTGCATCTTAGATGAAAACTTATTAGACGAACATCCTAGACGGAATTCCGTCTGGGATAGTCTTCTTAGACGGAAATATGATTTTCCTAGACGGAATTTTTCGTTTAGGAGGCCTTATTTTGTACCAGTGTCCACTTAAAAAAATAAAAAAATAATAAAACATGTAAGCACAAAGGATCAGGATCCCCTCCCATAATAATTGATCTCCACTTTTTTCTCATTTCATGTTTGCCTTCTATCATGTAGTTCATTAATACAAATCAACTAAAGTTTCCATTACTTATCTTTGTGGGTTATTTTCCAAATAGATATTTGGATTATTTCTCAAACAAGAAGAGGAGTTAATTGCATATTGTACTTCTCCATGTGTTAGAGACTAAAACAAAGCAGGTGTAGGCTGTTTAAAAATCACAACAGATAGTCAATCCCCATCAAATACCGATGATGGAAGTTACAATCTGACGACTTTCAGAAGGTTATAATTTAAAGACTTTCACGTAGATCGATGAAGGTTACAATCTGACGACCTTCGCAATAACTGATGAAAGCTCTAATCATCTGACGACCTTCGCAATAACTGATGAAAGCTCTAATCAACAGCCTTCACAATCAACATCGGGAGTTACAATCTGACGACTCTCATATTTTTAAGGAGCCAAGACGAAAATTACTGAACAATGACCTTTGCAACGCTCTACAGAAGAAGCTATAAGTCATTAGCTCCTTCTAAAACGCGGAATTCACCCTCGCGTTTTAGTTCTTGAAACGCAGATGACCCCCGCGTTTCCAACCCTCAGCAAACAAAACGCGGACGGCCCTCGTGTTTTTCAACATCCAGCGGGTGTCCAACTCCGCATCTCTAGTCTAAAACGCGGAGTTAGGGTCCTGAACGCCAACTTGGTCATTTGACTCATTCAAACATGAGTCGAACGGTTTCAGAACCGTTTTCCCCACGTTTTGAGGGATTCTCGCCCACGTTGGAGCGGATTTAGGGGTTGGTTACACCCCTTAATCTCCTATAAATAGGAGAAAACTCAACTGAGTTTGGGCTCGGTTTTTGGCTCTCGGATCGATCCTTTTTTCAGCAGCAAAGAAGAGATCAAAGGCTGGCTTTTGAGGAGATCGACTGGAGAGAAATACTTGGTAACAAGGAGATTTTGAGGCATCCTTGAGCAACAGCAAATTCACTTGGCTATTAACCGATTTTCGGTTTAAATCAACTCTTTTTCAAGAGTTTAAACTCACTCTGAGTTATCAACTCGTTCAGAGTTGCAAACTTGGCACGCAAGTTCTCCACAGCGTCAAGTCGTGAGGAGAATATATCGTTCTAGTGAATCAAGACATTCGGATCGTCAACGGAGAGCAAACTCGACGCGAGCATTCGAGGGAGGCACTCCATCGCCACCGTGAAGAACCCAGAATTAAACAAAATGGAGAATTCAGATCAATTCTCCTCTCTTTTATAATCGGAAATCCAAATTGTAATTGAGATTGAGAGAATACAAATCAAATATATTTCTTTTAATTTTTCTTTTTACTACAAATTTTTCACCAAACAGCAGGAAATCATCAAAACAAATTCCTAAATTATAAGTCGCTTTATAAGGAAATACCTAAATCACATAGGACTAACTACTACTTAATGACTGAATTATCTGCATTTATGTATTTCATGCTTTAAATTCTTCAACATTGAACTATAAAATATATTTTTATTCTACTCTTTTTCTGATGTATATTTATCAGAATTGTTGGCTGGTCCAAATAAGAAATTAAAGATGTCCAAAAAATTTATTACCCAGAGAAATTAGATACACAATATATCTAGTTATCTACTTTATGTTGTTTTCAAGAAAAAACTCATTTATGCTAAGCACTGTAGAACTTTATGTCAGGCTACAGGTGGCAAACTGGAAAAGGTCACATTATACATACTGCTCATCCAGTTCATTATAACTACCAACTAGATGTTAATCAATCAGTTTAATTACTTGCAGAATTTTCTTGATAAAGTCACATGAATTCACGTTCATCTAATAAGTACTGTTTAAGACTGATGTGAAAGATGTTTAGATTCTTCTAACGTAGCAACTGATGTTGCTTGCCTGCAACAATGTACAAGTATTATGAAATATACAGTACTCTAGAAATCTGTCAACTGATATTGCTTGCCTGCAACAATGTACAAGTATAATGAAATATACAGTACTCTAGAAATCTGTCACAGTCCTATGTATATATATGACTAGATTTACTACTTTCAAACAATTACATGATCTCAAGAATCACCCATACAAAAAAAAAGCATGAAATATCACAGAAAAGGTAAAATATTGCATTCAACCATTAAATTATACAACCAGATACATGAAATTAGTTACACATCACAAACTCCACTCCAAATGATGTTATGAAACAGAAAACAGGAAAGCTATCAAACTGAAGTACAGTATTCAACTCTAACATTCTTCGATGCCTTTCGAAACATTGAAACTTTTTGCCTAAACTTAGCATGCTCCAATCCATCCTTTGAAGGTACAATGGTCATCTTCTCCAGTGCATGAGCATTGTTCAGCAAAAACTTGATTAGATCAAGCCCAGTCTTGTTCTCATCAATGTATTCAAGTTTCACAGTCTTCAGATTTTTCATTTTGCCATTTATGTTCAGGTTTCTTTCATCTTGATCACCACTGTTGTCATTAGAAAATCCTCGTCGCAGCGATTGGGATGGCTAAAGAATTAAGAGTATGAAATCTAATTAGTTTCTCAGATGATGATTGTCAACAAAAACAACATGCAAATTAAGCTACAAACAACTAAAATGAGAGAGAATTGAAATTTATATTGATATTTTCTACATTGCATTAGAAACTTAACACGTTCAAATGCTAAGGGGATTGAACAGTTGCTTGTAACATAGATGAATAATAATTTAAGTAGGAAAACAAAACAATCAATGTAACATAGACGAATAATAATTTAAGTAGGAAAACTTAACACGTTCAAATGCCAAGGGAATTGAACAATTGCATGTAACATAGATGAATAATAAATTAAGTAGGAAAACAAAGCAATCAAAATGAATATTAACACATGTAAAATCTGGCAAGTGCAGGCTAAAGAATGTGACTCATGGATGTAGAAACAGCTCCTAAAAGCTAGAAACATGATGAGGGATAAGATGAGAAGTGTTGACAACTTATTGAATGCAATTAATGGTAGCTGTGTCAATGGCAATATCAGTATATCGTCGATTTACAGGGTATTTTTTCAGCAACAGGCTGTTTTGTCTGAAGGATCAGGGACTATATGGGGGGAGGGGGGTGGCATTTCCCCCAAACATTCATTCATCCTGTGGCTAGCTTCTCTCTCTAGGTTACTCACGCAAGAAAGATTGTGCAAAATGAGAGTGTTAAGCTCAAATCAGTGTATATTGTGCTCAAGTGATCGCCAAATAGAAACCTGTCAACATATCTTTTTCGATTGTCAATACTCTGCGAGTGTTTGGAGAAAAGTGATGGAATGGCTGAAATTCAACTGCAATTGGAACCAGATTTTCAATTGGTACAACAGGAACTTGAGGGGAAAATGCTTCAAAAAGAAGTTGAAGAGAATTGCTCTGTCAGTATCTGTTTATCTGCTATGGCAAGAGAGAAATCAAAGAATTTTTCAGCAGAAAGCTCGTGGACCTGAGCAACTATTTCGTGCGGTGAAGATCTGTATATACACAAATATTTTGAATGAAAATATACCACATCATATGAAAGATTACAATGAGAGTTCGTAAAAGAATGTTGACTTGGTTTATATAACCAGTCTTTGGCTTTCTTGTAACTTTGATGTGCGCATACATTTCCACACTTGGTGATGAATAAAGTTCTCATTCATTGACGTCGACCAAAAAAAAATCTACTGTAAATATAGTAAGAAATAATTCTAAATAAATTGAAACTTGTATAACAAAAAAAAACGTTAATAGTTTGGAGAAATTATGGAAATGCTTACTAGGATTGAAACTGTTAGAATTTCCACATTGACACAACTCCTAAGCAAAGGAGACACCAACTGGACACAATCTTCTTTCCTCACAAGTAAGAGAACCAATTCCTTCACATTCTCTCCTTGTGCTTTCATACATTTTGATAAATTCCTCACTCTACAAAGTTGCTTCAAAATTTGAAAAAACAAACAAACAATTAGTGGTTAAGTAAGAAACAAGTAATAAATTAACTTGGTTAACTTAAGAATTTTGGGAAATTTCTTGTACCTCAATGCACCATGGAGATAGTGTTAAAACCTTTGCATTCCCAACCATTTGAACTAATTTCACCAAGAGTGGTGAGCATTGTTCATCACTTTCATATGCACAAGATTTTACATTCAAATTCAACACTACTTCAACCAAAGATGGTAAATTCACAAAACAATGTAGATTGACAACTTCACCAATATAATTAAAACACTTCAAATTCGATGCTGAAATCTTCATCTCTCCCGGGCTCACCCATTCACAACCAAACACAGTCAATTTCTCTAGACTTTTGCTTTCAATCTCTAGAGCATCAATTTTGCACTTCTCAATCACAATCTCTTCAATCAACATACAATTTTCAAAAACACCCTTAAAGAACTCCCCCTTCATCAACGGAACCGATCTGATCTCAAGAGATCTCAACTTCTTTAGTCCAACTGGATGAGGCAACTCAAATGCATAGTCACTCATCCTCAAATTTAAAACACTCAATGATCCACACCGAAACACCAAATCAGGGATTTTAGATAACCTTCCTCTAGGCAATCCAATATCAAGTTCTTGAACATCATGATCAATTGCAAACTTTACCCAATCCTCAACACGAGGCTCATAACCTCCGTAATCTTCCATTGAGAGGTGAAACTTACGTAGCCCTTCACCGGAGAAAAGCTCTAGGGTTTTGTCCACAAAGTCACTGAATGCTTGCTTTCTTCCTCTTGATTTAGGGAAAAGAGAGAAGTCGAAGTCTAGAGAAGGAGAAGAGGCATAAATAAATCGCCATCGCTTTGATAGTGTGCTTGTTGCCACTGCTTCTTTCATTGGGAGGAAGGAGACGATGAGACTGCAGAGATCATCAGAGAGGTTGCTAATAAAGTCGACGTCATCGCTTCTAATTGGAACAAGATGCTTTGTTCTCATGATGATGATGATGAGATCTCACCTGGCCTGTATAAGAGGGTGCAAAGGTCTTGTTTAGTGAGTAAATGTGTAGGTGTTCAAAGTGTGCTAGGGTTTTCCTAGGGTTTTTGTGGGTAATTAGGGCTTTAAAGGTCTTGTTTAGTGAGTAAATGTGTAGGTGTTCAAAGTGTGCTATGGTTTTTCCAGGGTTTTTTGGGGGTAATTAGGGCTTCAAAAGAAGAATACAGGTGATTTATGCAAGATGGTTAAAAGGGTTTTGAGGATTGGACAATGAATGGTGATTGGAGGGCGAAAATCTTCAAAGTGTGCTAGGGTTTTTCTAGGGTTTTCGGAGATTAGGGTTTTTGGAACTTGTTATATATAAAAGAAGAATATAGGTGATTGATGCAAGGTAATTGAAAGGTTATAGCTATGCATATATGATGAATTGTGACAGGGTTTGTTTGATGGAGATTTGGCTTCTTTGATCGATTCAGCGAGAAGGATTATATATAGTTTTGTGAGAGATTAGGGTTTTGAATGATACCTCATTGTGGAACAACTCTAGTCTTATTGGCCCAGTTTCATGAAAAAAGATTTTGTGGGGCCAGGCAAATATTTTTTTTAATTACTCTTCTAATACAAATAGGATACGCGCTAGGCCCTCAAATTGGAGAAAATATATAGGTTATAAAATATGCATATTGGAGAAGAAGAAAAAAAGTAAGTAATTTTTAATTGGTAGTCATTCGTTTAGAGGTTTTATGCAAGTCCTGAACAAATAATAGATTCATCTGCAAGTAAAATAAATTAGTCTTGGAGACAGGATTTTTAAAAAATAAAATAAAGATAATTACCTTTGAAATATAGGCCGGGAAAGTAACAATGTTATGTATTCGAGTATTTCCTAAAGTTGAGGACATTATACATAACATACAATGTTATGTACAACTAAGCATGTGTACAAGTTGAATTATATTGCTAATCGGTTGGATGGAATAAAAACTATCTTTGCAAATATTCTGCAAATGTTTGTGACATATCATTTGCATAGATCATAATAAATTAAATAACTCAGATCAAATAACACATCCATCTAACTTGCAGAAAAATTAGGATTGAACAGTCTTCTGATCGTAAAAGATTTATTGGCTAATTAGGTAAATCTTTCCGTAATTTAATTTTATCTGAAGTACTAAATATAATTTATTTAAATTTTACACAACAGTCAATCTCCAATGTAACATGGATTCAAGAGGCTTCAACTATAATCATAGTTCTTACCCATAGATCGATATGGAAATTATCGACAAGCAATGCTCTCTAAATAAGAAATTATCCAGCAAAGAAATTGTGGTTAATAAGAAAGAAAAAAAAACTCAATCCACTGAAATTTTGTATTTTGTATAATAGATTTAAACAATTAACATGAAAATTGTTAGAATTATGAAAATTTTAACTCATATACCCCAAATATAGAAAAGAAAGGAATGATCTTTAATTAGGGAATTTTAATTTATTTTCCCCAGTAGAATTGCAATCCTATCGGGGCAAATCTTTAAAATAACAAAGAGAAAATGGCAATAAATCGTACCTTAAAAATCGTGAATAACCAACATGAATTCAGAGAACATGAAAACTCCAAGCTGCTGATCGATGAAGTAAACAAATTGGTCGTGAAAGAGTTTAAACCATTTTTTCGATATTTTAAGGAGTTGCAGCATATATTAAATTGGTTGGATTTGTTTGACGCAAGTACTGAGAATTTAGACGGTTGTTGCACAAAATACAAAGTATGTTGTCAGAAGGAATTTAGTGGTGTTGGAGTACAAATCTTATCAGAACGTCTCGCATGCGAATAAGATGTTCTGTACCATATAAAAGGGGCGTCTAAAAGCAGTTTGGAGATTTCAATTGTTTTTAGTGTTTTTTATGCGGACTACGCTGATAAAATATGTATGCAAAAAAGATATTGACAAGACTAGATATGAATCGAGACTAGATAGGGGTCCAGTAGGACTCTTGGTCCCTCTCTCCTCTAGACAGAGGGCCTTCCAAATTGAGGCAATTTCTTTTGAGGTTTGCTAGGTTTTCATGTGCACAAGCAAATCTGATGCAAGCTTAATCTTTATGGTGCGATATTTTGTATATAAAAGTCGCTTGTCACATGTAGGAATAAACATTAATGTAATGTGTTTTACTTGTTTGGCCATGTAACAGAAGGTATGAGTTTGTAAAAAGACAAAGAAATAAATAATGAATTGAAAGCACCATTTGAAATTGAACTAGAATTGAGAAATATAAAAAGAAAATTAATATGCGTACTTAGTAAAAGGTACGCTCTATGTTCATCTCTTAGTCCTGTAATCCTGCAATATGAGGGAAATGTGAACGCGTATTTGTACATTGTAATTTTAATAAAGAAAAATCATTTTCTAAACTATGTTAGTCTAATAATTTTTAGACAATTATAAATTTTCTAGTACAACTTAACTGTTCTATGTGAACTGAACTGATTAATTTCTAATTTTTCTTTATCAAAATAAGACATAACAATTTAATCATAAATGGTTATGATTTAGGTAGTATTGTCTCCGTGATTATTATTTAGGAAGTAGTGGAGATTGTTTATAGTAAGAGCAATATAAATGATAAGTGATTTGATGATAATTAAACATTTAAATTTTCCAAAAAAAGGGGCTAGAATTATATAGACTTAATGGGACCATTAAAGTTTGATCCATGTATTTATCTCTAGTTTATAAGGATTCAGAGAAGCCTCAACCAAGTGAAGGTTAAAATATGGATTAAAATCAACTTATATAAATAACTTTCTCAAGACTCAACTGAAAACACTAAAAATATATAAAATTCAGTAAAAAAATTAAAATAAGAATGAATGAAACTGGCTTTGCTCGGACTCGAACCAGGTGAAGGTTAAAAACACGGATTACAGTCAACTTATATAAATAACTTTGTCAAGACTCAAGTAAAAACACTTGAAAAATATAAAATTCAGTAAAAAATAAAAATAAAATGAATAAAACTGGCTTCGCCCGGACTCGAACCGGAGACCTTCAGTGTGTTAGACTGACGTGATAACCAACTACACCACGAAACCTTGTTATTACACAGTGCAAAATTGTTTTTAAAGAGATCGATTATTACTCCTTCAAAAAAATCATACCTTCCAACTATTCTTCTCCAAAGCCCACATGACATAAATTTTACCATTATCTCACGTATTCATAGATCATCTTATGAAACAAAAGCATATTCTTTTATGCTTTACAAAGACCAATTATCATAAGTCCCAGACCATATTCCATTGCATAAAGGGAAAAAATAATTTTATTTCCTCCAAACTTCAAACTAAGATACAACAGCTAAAATTCTACAAAGAAGACATATGTGACGAATGTGCATGAAGCTCAAAAACAGTTATACATGTATAATACATTATGTAACACTAAATTGACTGAAAGCAATGAGATGGTCACGCAATCATCCAAAATTTTGAAGCAAGCCTTCGATATACCCAGATCCTTGATCCCATTGCTTTTAAACAGCGTCGCACATAGGACTATCTGGACTCAAGATTCTCGAGTTTTGTGTGACTAGGAGAGTACTGGTTTCTTTACACTTGGACCATCTTGAAATCTTCCTCTCATCGTTATTCCAGAATTTCTCTGACAGGGACTTCAATATGCCCTTAAAGTATGCTGCAACTGCTGCCATAATTTGCCTGCATTAAGAAACATGGGAAAACTGTTGAGGGATACCAAGGAGAGGAGGGAGTTGAGTATATAAACCACACGATAACTTCTTGAAAGCAAATTGAAACAAAGGTAGCTTCATCGTATGGACGAAAATTGCAGATAGACCCCTTGATATCGCCCAGTTGTGGATAGATAGATCCCATGCAGTTCTATTGTTGCACATACCCCTGATTGAAATATTCCGGCTCTTTTGACTCTTAGAGAAAGAGAGATTGTTTTTGTTACCAATAGACCTCCTGGGGGTAGAAGAGTCAAAAGAAATTCACTCAGGGTTTCTATCTACAATTATATTACGTAGATGGTAATGGCACGAAGAAAGTCAAATGCGGTAGAAGATTAAATAGCAGATGTCCGTGCAGAGCCTCTGCCAATGACACACGTTTAATAAAGGAAACAAATAGTCCATTCTATGCACAAATCAAGGTTCTTAAGAGTGCTGGTGGCTTAAAAGTCTTTTGCTCTATACTGAAGATTTCCCATGAATCACCAAATTAGGGATTTTAATGTTAAGGGAAGTTCAAAGCTTCATAATTAAATTAAATTATCTCTCTACATGACACCTTGAAAGAGATAACTGCCCATACTACATTGTTTTGCCATCTTACTTCTATTGAAGTTGATAAAAAGTATATAATTACATATAATGTCAAGCACACTTTCAAATCACCAACACCATGCTACAGTTAAATAAAAATTATACGGCAATTATTATTCGTTCAGAGTAAAGAACATTTACTTACAGCGGAGAGCAAGGAGCTTGGCCACCATTTACATAGTAAACAAACAAGTACGAATCATAATGTTGCCCGTTTATGTAGTAGAATTCCTGTAACCTTTTAACAAGCTTAAAGAGCATTTTCTTATAAAAATGGATGGCTGGATGATTGTAAGCAATAACATGTAGATAAACGGCTCTGCAACTTGTAATACTCGAAGCATATTTTATAACTTCTTGGATAAGTGAAGTAGCTGCAGAACATAAGATTAAATGAATACAGTCAATCACGTGGACAAAGTAATACTCGCTGAAATCCGAAATATGATATAATATATCAACCTATTCCAAGGTTCCGATAATGTTCGGCCACACCGAGAGTCAATATATACACTAGCGTTGCATCTTTCCTCGAAATATCATATAGTAGAAAATCATCCACCTGTGTGAAACAGTTACATATGCAGATATTAGCTAGTTTAGACATTTTTGGGAATTTTGCATATAAACCCAAACTTTTACCCCCACTTACCTTAAAACCACGTAGTTCTATGTATTCCATTTTGATTCAAGGGCACGTAGTTCAATATTTGCGATTTTCATGGGTTGTAAACCACGATTTGTGTCCATTTTGACGCAATGGAATTAAGCACAATTACTATAAAATTCACGATTTTCATGGACTATAATCCACGAACCCAGAGGCAATTAAATAAACGTAGTTCAAAATTCGCGTTTTCATGGACTATAACCCACATTTTTTGTCCGTTATTGCCAATAAGCTATGCTTATTTCAAAATTCTCGATTTTCATTGGCTATAACCAACGATTTTTGTTTTTGTCAGTGTTGACCCACATAAAAGTTTGCGATTTACCGGCTATAACCGACAATCTTTTATTTGCTTTTTGCTAATTTTGACCAAATGACAATTAATTACGCGTAGTTCAAATTTCCAATTTCCATGAGATATAGCCCATAATTTTTGTTCATTTTCATCCATTTTGACTCAATGGCACATAGTTCAAAATTTACAATTTTTGTAGACTGTACCTCACGATTTTTATTCATTTTCATCCGTCTTGACTCATTGACACATAGTTCAAAATATGCAATTTTCATGGGCAACAACCTGCAATTTTTGTCCGCATTTGTCTGTTCTGACGTAATGAAAATTAAGTATGTTACTTCAAAATTTCCTATTTTCACGGGCTAATCCACGATTTTTGTCTATTTTTGTCCATTTCGACCCAATAACAATTAAGCACATTTACTTCAAAATCACGATCCATGATTTTTTTTTCATTTTTGTTTATTTCAACACAAAATTAAATACATGTAGTTCAAAATTCACGATCAAATGGGTTTAATCAATGATTTTTATCCATTATTGTCCTAATGGCGATAAAGTATGTGAATTTCAAAATTCTAGATTTACATGGGGTACACCCACGATTTATTATCATTTTTTATCGTTTAGACCTAATAAGAATTAAGTCTACACCTTTTAAAATACCCAATTTTCATAGGCTATAGCCCACAAATTGTATACATTTTCATCCATTTCGACTTAATGGGAATTAAGTATGCATATCTAAAAGTTTGTGATCTATGGGATACAACCCACAAGTTTTATCTATTTTTGCAAATTTTAACCTAATGGCAATTAAGTACACATAGTTAACAATTCTCAATTTTCATGGCTGATGACCAACAACTTTTGTTCATTTTCATATGTTTTGTCTTAATGACATATATAGTTCAAAATTTATGATTTTTATGGACTATAACTCATGTTTTTCGTTAACTTTTCTCTGCTTCGACCTAATGACAATTAAGTATGCTTATATCAAATTTCATAATTTTCACGAGCTATAACCCACAACATGTTTTCGATTTTTCTATTATAACCCAAAGGCAATTAAGTACACTTCTTCAAATTTCGTAACTTCATTGGCTATAATCCAAAATTTTTGTTTTCCATTTTAACCCAATGGCAATAAAGTATGCATATTTCAAAATTCACGATTTTTGTGATCTATATAACCCACAGTATTTGTTGTTTTTCTCTATTTCTACTCAATGGGAATTAAGTTATATGTACACCAAAAGTTGCAATATTATCGGCTTTAACTGAAAATTATTCTTCGTTTTTGCCAGTTTCAACCCAATGACTAGTCTCCTATGACTTTTTGTTTATTTTCATTCATTTTGATATAATGACACATAATTCAAAATTTATAATTTCACGGGCTATAACACATAATTTTTGTTCATTCTTCTCTGTTTCAGCTCAATGGCAAGTACATACACTTCAAAATACATGATTTTCATGAGTTATATCCCAAGATTTTTGTAGGTTTCGACATATAGGCAAGTACTCTTTGTTCAAAATTTGTGATTTCATGGGCAATAACAACTACTTTTTGTCTGTTATTGTATGTTTAAATCTTGACCCAATAGCAATAAAGTTTACACAGTATAAATTCTTAATTTCATGGGTTGTATCCTACGATTTTCATTCACTTTCATCTTTTTCGACTCGATGCAACATAGTTCAAATTTTTAGATTCTTATGGAATGTAACGATTTCTATCAATTTTTGTGTCTCGACGCAATGTAATTAAGAAAGCTTAGTTTAAAGTCGCTATTTTCATGGGCTATAACCTAGAATTTTGTCAAGTTTGGTGAATTTCAACCTAAAGTAAAGTACATGTAGCTCAAAATTCGTGATTCCATAGGCTATACAACACATGTTTTTGGTCTGTTATTGTATGTTCCGACTCAATAGCAATAAAGTATGTGTATTTCAAAAAAAATTATTTTCATGGGCTCTTATAGTTTTTGTTTGCTTCGAGCTAAAGAAAATTAAGTATAGGTACATCAAAATTTGTGAGTTAATGAGATATAACTCATAATTTTTATTAGTTTTTGTCCATTCCAACAAATGATAATCAAGTATGTGTAGTTTAAAATTCTTAATTTTTCATGGGGTATAACCCACACTTTTTGGCCATTTTCATCGATTTTGACTCAATGGCACCTAGTTCAAAATTTACGATTATCATGTGTTATGACCCATGATTTTTATTCATTTTTATTCGTTATGATTATGTAGTTCAAACTTTGTAATTTTCATGGACTATAGCACATGGTTTTTGTTCAATTTTGTCGGTTTCGATATAATGGAATTAAGCAGGCTCATTTCAAAATTTATGATTTTCATGGGCTATATAATCCATGATTTTCATAAATTTTGTCTACTTCAACATAAACACCATTAAGACGTAGTTTAAAATTCGCGATTTCAAAGGCTATAAACCCAGAATTTTTATTTGTTTTGATCCATTTTGACCTAATGACAATTATGTACGTCTAGTTCAAAATTCTTGATTTTTATGGTCTATAACTCACTTTTTCGTTCATTTTTATTCATTTCAACTCGATGGCATGTAGTTCAACATTTATGATTTTCATGGGCTATAATCAATGATTTTTGTCCATCTTTATCGATTTCAATCGAAAGGTTATTAAATGTACTTTAAAACTCATGGGTTATAACCCATGTTTTGCCTCTGTTATTGTCCATCTCAACTCAATTGTGATAAACTTTGTATTCTCAATTTTCACGGGAACAAACAATTTTTATTGTTTTTGTCCGTTTCGAACCAATTGATATTAAGTACGCGTACATCAAAACTTGTAATTTTTATGGGTTATAACTTTTTTTCCATTTCAACCCAATGGCAATTAAGTAGGTGCAGTTAAATTCTTAATTGTCATGGGCTATGACCTACATTTTTTTTTGTTCATTTTCATCCATTTCGACTCATTAGCATGTAGTTCAAAATTTATGGTTTTCATGGGTTAAAACCCACACAATTTTTTCCCATTTTTGTTCTTCAACCCAAAGACAATTAAATACACGTAGTCAAAATATGTTATTTCATGAAATATAACCCACAAATTTTGTCCGTCATAGTCTGTTTCGACTCAATAGCAATAAATTAGTCGTAGTTCAAAATTATAACCAACATTTTTTATTATTTTTGTCTATTTCAACCAAATGGGACTAAGTATACATACACAAAAATTTACGATTTTATGGGATTAAAAACCCACAATTTTTATCTTATTTTGTCCATTTTGGCTCAATGACAATTAAATACGCATAGTTCAAATTCATGATTTTAACGGACTATAGCTCATGATTTGTTGGTTATTGTCCGCTAAGACTCAATGGCGATAAAGTGTGTATTTAAAAATTCTCTATTTTCAAGGGCTATAATCCACAATTTTATCATTTTTGTTCATTTCAACCTAATAATAATTAATTATGCGTACGCCAAAATTAACGCTTTATGAGATATTTTACACAGCATTTATCTATTTTTGTCTACTTTCAACAATGACATGTAGTTCAAAATTTGCAAGTTTCATGGACACTGATAGTTTCGGTTTGTTTTTGTTCATTGCGATCCAACGACAATTAAGCTTATTTCAAAATTTGCGACTTTCATTGACTATAACCCGTGGTTTTTGTCTATTTCAACTAAAAGGAAAATAAATACACGTAGTTTGAAATTTGTAACTCATGAACTATAAACCACAATTTGTCTGATAAAGTATGCGAATTTGAAACTTCTAGGTTTTCGTTTTTATTTGTTTCACCCAATGGGAATTAAGCGTACATAAAAATTTGTGATTTTATGAGCTATAAACCATAATTTTTTCTATTTTTGTCTACTTCGACCTAATGACAATTAAGCACATTTACTTTAAAATTCGCAATTTTTGTAGGCTATAATTGCCTACTAATATCAATTTTTTGCCTATTTCAACCCAAAGGTTATTAAGCACACAGTTCAGAATTTTCAATTACATAGGCGATATAATCCACGATTTTTGTTCGTTATTGTCTGTTTTAACCAAATTGTTTAAAGTATGCATTCTAAGATTCTCGATTTCATAGGCTATTGAACCCACATTTTTGTTCTTTATCATCTATTTCAACTCAATGTCATGTATGTCAAAATTTACAATTACCATTTGTTAGAACCCATTTTTTCTCTATTTTTGTCCCTTTTGATCCAATGAAAATTACGTACGTTTACTTCAAAATTTGTGATTTTCATATGTTATAAACAACAATTTGTCCATTTTTGTCCATTTGAATTTTGCAATTATCATGAGCACCCATTTTTTCCATTTATATTTGTTTTGAGCAGATGACAATTAAATAAGTTTACTTCAAAATTGGTGATCTTCATATGTTATAACCAACAATGTTTGTCCATTAGGCTATTTGAACCAAACCTCAACTAAGTAAACTTAGTTCAAAATTAGTGATTTCATAGTCTATAAGTCATGCTTTTTTATTGTTATTGTCCATTTCAACTCATTGGCGATAAAGTATTGATAGTTTAAAATTCATGATTTTAATG